CCAGTACCAAAAAAACTGCATCCTAACTGGGACTCAAGACATGACGGGGAATTCCCTGAGGGAAATGATCTCACTTCACCGCTAAACTTCCCAGAAGCAGCTACTCAATGCCCAGGAACTGCCATGCAAGAACATGAAGCACATATGTATTTCCTCATCTCCAGGAAGTTTACAAAAGTTGCAGTTCTTCCACTTCATTTTTTTTTTTGGGGGGGGGGATGCATCTCAGAAACAGAACCCTACTACATGAGTAAAACTCAGGGATAGGGGGATTCAATGGGGAAGCCAGAAACAGACATGCCTTGCTTTTCATTACCAAAGTGACTTATATCCACTCCTAGTTGCTCAAAATCCAGCAAGTTTATAATCTTCTCCCACAAGCTCACATAATAGCCTCCCAAAACCATCAGTGCAAGGTCTGGTCCAAATCATACTTTTCACAAAACTTGGTGGTGAAGGGCAGACAAGTGAGATACTCAGTCCAATGCCAATTAATGGGGTACACATACAGCCAGATCACAAGAGAAGCGAACAGACCAATGAAGACCAGCAGAGAGACTATGATCATGATCCTCTTGCGATACTTGTCCACGGTACCAAAGGTGATGTAGGGTAGAAATGCAAATGACAGCAAGAGGCCACTGAGGAACCCAAATATGTGTGCAATGTTGTCGATCCATGGCAAGAGGCCACACACAAAGAGGAAGAGGACAATTCCTGATAGGTTCAGGAAAGCTTTCCAGGGCTTCTCAAGGACCTGCCAGCTCTGGAAAAGTTCCACAAAAAGGCAGGCTAGCAAACCAAATTGGGATCCTGCTGGACCAACCTGAAACAAAGGAAAGGGAATAAAGTCAGTTATGGTTTAATCTATCCAAGATACCTTGCCACAACACCCCACCCGAGAAAAATTTATGGACCCTGCAAACCTCCTGCCAATCATGGTTCAGAATACTGATCTACATGGGCCAGTGGAATAATGCAGCCCCTTTCCAGTGCAGTGTGCCAGGGAGCTA